GACATGGGAGGGTATCGTGCCTGCCCCTACCACCTACCGGGCCGAGCAGGCGTACCTGAACTGGCATTCACTGCACAGGAGTTCAGCGGTGGTACGGCAAGCGGTGCGAGATGTGTTTAACCTGCTACCACAGAATGAGGATGGGTTAATAACAAAGACCACGTATGTTGAATTCTTTTTGGACCTTCTCAACCTTTTTTTTCCTATGCATATTTCCTCCGCCAATATTTCCATTGCGGAGGAGGAGTGGGTATACCGGGGGACAACTGAATTGATGAGGTTTGAGACATTTTATGAGAAATTCTATAGTTTCCCGTTTATATTTTTTCGTGATCTCAGCAAAGTGACGAGGGATCAGTATGTGGAGGTGTGGTGTCTGATTCGTGTCTGTTTGTTAGAGAATGAAGTGTCTGTCCTCTCCTGCTTGCAGGATACGGCGGTGTTGGGGCCACCGAATAGTGTGACAAGTGGCGGGCTCTCTTTCAATACTTTGTCGTCCGCTGCCAATCCCTCGGCTCCACGCCCCATCGTCGACTACAGTCGTACACGCCGACCGAAGCGGATATTGGAGGCGACATTGTGCTCCTTGCAGAAGCTGAAGGACTTGGGGCGGAAGAAAGCCCCGCCTCTCATTGGTAAAATTTTGGATGTTTCATATGATGATGTTCTACGATTAGGGGGGACGGGATTCCACAACACAGACAACTATCCGCTACATGGCGCAAAGCAATTGGCGGCGGTGATGGTGAAGGAGAATTTGCAGAAATTGGTGCCCTCTCACGCGATTGCGGTGGTGCATGCAAAGGGGAAGCAGCTGCTTGCCGAGACCTCACGGGCCAGGCGGCGGCAACAACTACAGGAACAGTTGCAGAAGAAAGATAACCCGGGAAGGAGCATGGACAGCGAGTTCAGCAGCGTGCTTACTATTGCATCGTTAAGCAAAAACGAGAACGAAGGGGAAGAGATGGAGGGAAGCAGCGACTTGGTTATAATGAACCGCAGCAACTCTTCTAGGGGACGCTCTCTCGCAGAGAAACGGAGGAAAAAAATGATGGGGTGGAGTCACGTGACGACGGGGCGCCACGCGACATTGGAAAAAATTGAGGAGGCGCGGATGAAGAAGAAATTGGTTGAAACGTCGGTGTTTTACCGTCATCGACGCCTGCGGCGAAATGCGGAGCACGCGAAGATCTTGTCGCATATCTCTCGCAGCCACACCGCATGGGAGGTTTGCCGGCATGACATTTATGAAATTCCCCCCGAGAAGCCGGACGAGGAAGACAAACTGTTGGCATTTGTGCAGGACCTCCCAGACGACTTCTTTGATGATGAAAATTCTCTACGGGTGCGGTACGGCATTCACGCGGCTCTTCTTAAAGAACGTGCTGAACGCTCAAAAATTTGTTATCCCATTGAACCCATGCTTTCCACGTCATCGATGACGATGGCGAGTTCACGTGACACACCGAAGGGAAACGAGCAGGACTCTCTCACCACGTGCATGTATACTGCATTGACGGCCGATGATACGACGATTGGCAGTAGTCGTGGCGGTGCGGTTTCGTCTGTTCATGTCTTTAGGACAAGACGACGTACCCCACATGAGGGAGGAGCGAGCAGAATGTCAAATTCCCCCGGTTTGACATCGCTTGTTGGCGACGGATCATTCCCGTCTTCCTCTTGTGGGATGAACTCATCTTCAACCCCACCATCGTCGGCATCCAGTGGAACGATGCGAGGGGATCTACCGGAGGAGAGGAATGGCAGTCATGAAGATGTCAGGGATATGGCTTCACTAGAGGAATGGTCGAAACGAAAGGAGGAGTTAGAACCAAAGCGAGCGTTCCATATTCGTTTGAATTTCAAACAAAATATGGATGTTAATTATAAAAAATTGCTGCAGAAAAAGCCACATCGTCTTTTTCCGTTTTCTATGCCCACCGCAAGGAAAGGGGCTCCCTCGACGGTCGTTAAAAGTCGTCTCCAGGAGGGACTCCACCCGTCGGGAGCTCAACAGATATTTTGAGTATATCCCTCATATCTACACCTACATATGTATGTATGTCTTTATGATGCCTATATTTAGGATGTTTTATTTCTTGTTTCTTTTTCTTTTTCCTGAAGAGTTCTTCCAAAGGGAAAGGGAAGGAGGGGAGGATGTTTGCATTCACTGGAGAAAAGATACTTTTTGTTTAGGGCTATGTTTTTCCTTTTTTTTTTTTTTTTCTCCTTCATGTAGGCCATGTTTGTTGTGGAAGTTGACGGGGGATGTATTATTATTTTCTCCTTTTTCTCCATTTTTTTATTATTTTCCCCCCTACCCTACCCTGTCGAGGTGTGGGTTTTTAGTTGTGGAGGAAGTAGCAGGTACTGTGGAAACTCATGTACGTCAAATATTACCGATGTATTGGCTTAAAGTAAATTTTCCTTCTCTATTTTGCTTTATTATTATTATTATTATTATTATTATTATTATTATTATTATTATTATTAATGTTTTTATTTGTGTGTGTCTTTTATGAGAGAAAGAGGGAGAAAGAGAATGGGAGGGCGTTCTTGTTTTTTTTTGTCTGATTTGCTGCAATGTGAAGAGTTGTGAATAGGCGACGTCTGCGTGTGTTTTACTCCGCTGCTTTTTGTTGTTGTTGTTGTTGTTATTGTTGTGTGTGTGTTTGGAATTGCGATGTCGCTTTGTTCCCTCTGTGGGAGCATCACTCACAACCATCTCTTCAACTCTCTCTCTCTCTCTCTTTCTGGATCTCCGTGTAGGATGACTGCTGGGGGCGGCGTTCTGACACCATCCAGTGCGGGGGCGCAAATTATCCACTTGGCCTCTCGCCTTCTTGTTGGCGTGAGGCTGCATGGCACCATCGCCGCTTTTCACCCTCGCAGCCGCGGTCAACTGAAGTGCCGCCCGTTCCTTCGCTACTTTGCCGAGACGCTGCATCGACTCCGCTGCGACGTGACGCTGTTTGTCCCTGTCAACTCACGCACGGGGCCACAGCAGCTGGCGGAGCTCAGCACGCATGAATTTCCCTGCGAGTACCGCGTGGTGCATGATCCGACGTCAGGGGCTGTGGATGACTGTGGCAGGGGGCAGCGCAGGGGCGGGGGCGGTGCGTCGCGGGGGAACTTCCAGGACCTCCTCAGCAGGGTGGCAGCAGAACAGCAGACATCCCCAAGTCGCATCTTATTTATCGAATCTGAGATCAACTACCGCTTCAGCCCCGTGCAGACGCTTGTTGTGGAGGCGTTCCAGCCACATCGCATTCGTCAACGCCGGCGGTCAATTGGGGAGGCGGCGGAGGCGGAAGAAAGACGCCAGGCGGGAGAACATCACGCGGCACTGTTAGAGTCGGAGTATTCATGGACGCAGGGAGGGCGTGCGTCACGACCGCGTCATGCGCAGTCCTCGGCACCGTTTTCTGCCGAGCTACACGGTGATCCACAGGAGGAAGCGAAGAAGGACGATGTACGTTCGGCGGCTCTTGCCATTAACCGGGAGGACTACACGCTGGTGGCACTAGCTGGGATGCTGGTCGAACTTGCAGCAGCGGATGTTGCCGTCGCGGATTATTTGCGCGTGGAGCCACTGGTTGAGAAGCTTACGGTACCCTTTCACGGGAAGGTGAATTATCTCCCAATGGAGAACTGTGACGACATGGAGTTGTGGGACTGGACCGCCGTGGAGGTCCGAGAGGCGAGGAGGAAGGAAGAGGCAGAGACGGCCGTACCGGAGGTGGAAGAACGGGAGGAGCACCGTGATCTATTCAAATGAAGCAAGAGGCCGGTACATATTTATATATTTATATATTTATAATTTGATGATTATTATTATTATTATTCCCTCTCTTTCTTCTGTATTTATATGTCTTTATGGATGCAATTGCACTCTTTATATTTTTCTTTGCGAAAGGAATTCTCTAAAAAAAAAAAAGCCAAAAAAAAAAAGAAGAAGAAGGAAGACAAATACTACACACATTACACACACACACAGAGACATTATTAGAAACAAGCAAACAAACAAAAGTGCGAAATAAAAAATAAAAAATAAAAATTAAAAAATAAAAAATAAAAAACAGAAGAACAGGAAAGGAAAAGGAAAGAAAAACAACTCCCCTCAAGAAGGGAAGGAAAGGAGAGGTCAATATTGCGATAATTCCCCCCTGGTTATATATAAACCTCATTGTTACCGCTTTTATTATTACCATTCATTAGAGAGAGAAAGAGAGAGACAGAAAGAAAGAAAGAGGTTGCAGCAGCAGTCTTCGTAACAATTGCGAAGAGGAAAAGAAAAAAAAAAGGAAAGAAACATTGTATTACAACAAGAGAGAATAAATAAATAAATAAATAAACGATGAGCACATCGTTGGTGACAATTGCCAATACACTTTCTTCGGAATGCACGTATTATGCCGGTGACCCGGACCTCTTGAAGAGTGAGCGATATGCGGAACGCATCTCTAAAATGCTGCAGTCAGAGAAGGCAGACCTTCTTGCCGCACGCGTCGCCATTCACGCTCAGCTGCGGGATGCCTTCAAGGACGACAGTGTACAGAAGCTGTTGAAGCCATATCTTCGTGAAGATGAAAACTTCCAGACGTTGATTGAAGACGCCAAGAGTCGCGCCAAATTCTTCTCGCGGAAACAGCAGGAGCTGCAGGCAGCTGTGATGGCAAGTGAGGAACAGGTGGCGCTGCGAGAAGCACATCGCGAGTTGGCCGCATGGGAGCGTGAGAACGCGGTACTCTTACGGCACCAAATGTTCATGTCCTACAAACCCGCCATGTCACTTCTTCTTGAGAGCGCCGCTACTGTGGCCTTGTACCGTCAGTACGCCGCCCTTGAGGACGGGGGTGACACGAGTGAAAGCAGCAGCGGAGAGGTTCCTGAGCAGCTGGTAAAAATGGGTGGCGTGCCACTTTTCACCACACAAGCCCCGAACAAGGAGTTTGAGGTGGATGAGCACACAAAGATGTTTTCCCAGCAGGTACTGCAGAACAAGCGGGTAGAGTATGAGGAGAAACGGGCGTTGGTGGTGAAACAACGAAAACGCCTGGAGGATTGTCCTTCCCTGCAACGCCTACATGACTTTATTAACACTCGTAACGATATTTTTCGTAAATATGGTATTGACCTGCTTGTATCCCTCCGTGTACGCCGGGACAAGGCACTTGCCGAGCCATTTGAAGGGGGCGAGGATGCAACCGTGTCTGGATTGCCCCATACAAACGAGATTATGAAAAGCCGCCGTGTGGCACAATATTCACTCGCCAAGATTGTAGAGCAGTGTCATCAGAATTATCTCAGCATCCTCATCACGGAGGATCTGGATGCCTTGATGCGGAGTACAGGTCTTGAAAATCGTGAGGCGCTACAGGGCCTGAAGCCTTTGAAGGATATGGAGACATTCCGCTACTGGTTACTGGCAAGCATCACCGCGGATACGCCGCAGATTGGACCAAATAAGCTTGTAGGAAAAAATCCCACTCCCGTCGATGAGTACAAGAAGCTTTGGCAACCGCAAAAGTCCAGTTATGTACCCTCATTGAATACATCTCACAGACAGCAGTTTAAAATTATGGCGGAGCGACGTGGATTTCCCCACATTATCATCCTTTCCCCCGTTACCTACACCTACATGCAAAACAATGATCCCAAAACGATTATGAAAGGGGAACTGGACTTGATGGTATATGACCAGACCAACGAAAAGGTCCTATTGATGATTGCCAATTCGAAGGATGAACGTCGTCCACGGGGTGCTTTCCTTCTTGGGCAGGAAGAACGATATCGTTTTGCCGCCGTGATTCGTGCTGCCATTGCAAATGATAATGAGTTATTTGACTTTCAGTGTCAAGGGACGCTAGCGGAGTACTTTTTTGATACGGAAGCCGGATCTGAGGAAAATTATTACTGCATTATGGCCCCGTTTAAGGTCTCTCAGAAGGTTTCACCCGTTATTCACGTGCCCGTGTCTGCTCTGCGTCCCTTCGCCACCTGTCCGCCACGTTACTTTCTTCTGGGTTCAAACTGGGGCGCCAGCTCGGGCAATGCGAAGAATCCATATGCCATTTCCCATGTTCACTCGGAGTTAAATGAGGACGCCATTGTTCTGCAACAAAATATCTCCGAGGGGTTCATCCAAAAAAATGTGATGCCGCACCTTATTACGCGCAGTGAGGGAATTGAGATTATGAAACGGGAACGGGACCAGAGGGCACGTGAGCAACGCGAGTCCATGTCTGCACGATCGGGGACACTTTTATCCTCCGCACGTGGCACCCGCTCGTTGGGGCAGACCCCACGCGACAGTGCTCGTACCCCGCGTCACACGACGACATACCCCAGTGATGTCGCCTCCGCTTCGTTGGAGGAGGCTGAGAAGGAGGACGGCATTCTTCCCGAAGAGGAAGACCCACTCGCCCCTGAACTCCCGGGAGATGTGTTGCGACCTGTGAGAGAGGCATTGCTGAACAGGCGCTTCTTGCAACCTGGATATCTTCAGCGCCGCTTGAAGGACCAGGAGATCAAGAAGCTGCCGGCGGTGAAGGACGGCCGACTGCGCACCCCACTCATGGTGTTTCATGAAATAATGAAGGTAAAACACGGAGAGGAGGAACTGCCTCTCAGTCAACCACAAAGTGCACGTGGCCGATTGAACAGCATCAGCGGCAATAACAATAATAATAGTAACAACGGCAACAAAGGCAGCCCGAGAACCGCCGTGCGCAATTCCCTTAGTGTCCCTTGAACGCAAAAGTAGGTGATGGTGGTGAGTGGGTATTGGCACAGGAGAGGGAAATATTTGGGAACTCTGATGGTAATGATGCAGGGGAAATAATGTTTGTTGGGGGAGGGGATGTCATTGCGCATGCAGTGGAAAAGAGACAATGACTGCCTCCGCCCGGAGAATCAAAAACACATTTTTATTTATTATTTATTTATTTAAACTTGTTTCGGTGTGTATGTTGGGGGGTGGATGCATGGAAATGTTTTTTTTTTTTTTTCTTTTTTTTTCAAAAGAAATGAGCACGCACCCAACAACCAACAACAGGAAAATAAATTTAGAGGGGGGAAATAATGAAAAAAAAAAAGCGGAGGTGCAGGGGCGGTGGCTGCATGGACTCTTTTCATTGTTGTTATGTGTTTTTACGATTAGATTTGTTTGTTTGTTTTGTTTTGTTTTGTTTTGTTTTGTTTTTTGTTTTTTTTTTTTCTGCGGGTATTGGATGAGGAAATGCAGACTCCACGGCACGTAGAGAAGAAGAAAATGTGGTGGTGGTGGTGTCGGTTAAAGGAACAAAAGAGAAGTAGACATATATATATATATATATATGCATTTAAAGAGGGAGAGAGGAGGGGAGAGGAGGGAAAAAATGATGCTAGCGAAATAGAGGCAGGAGGAGGGGAAGAAAGTTTTTGTTTTTGTTAATATACACTCCCTTGTGCAGGTGGTAAAGGAGGGAGGGGAGGAGGAGGCATCGCTTCCAGAATGAGTCGTGTAATAACATCCCTTCAGGCCCTTTTTTCTTTTTTTTTTTTTTTTTTTTTTTTTTGGGGGGGTGGGGGGGGGGTCTATTTACATATTATTATTATTATTATTATTAGATATATACTGCCTTACGTGGATGCATACGTATCCTAAGTTGCGTTAGGCTCTGGTCGTATCGCCTTTTATAGTTTTTTTTTTTTTTCTTGTGTGTTTGTTTATTTAATTTATTTATTTATTTTATGACGTGACCCAATGTTTTTGAGACGGGTTTTTATCCCGCAATGAACACCATGTGGCATTGCATGACTTCTGAGACACAGAATGGACCGGGACAATATGTATAAGTATGTATATGTATATGTGTCTATATTCATGTTTGTACGTCATTCTCTGCTATTCATGTTTGTTTTTTGTTGTTGTTGTTGTTGTATTGTTTTTTGTTTGTTTGTTTGTTTTTTTAAATTGTTTTTGTCGTTGTTGTTTTTTTTATCATAGTTGTGCTTGTTTGCATGGTATTATGTGCGTGTGTGTCTGTCTGTGGGTGTGTAGGTGTATGCATGCATCTGTGGATATCTTTATATATGTGTGTGTCTGTGGTTATTGTTTTTGTTTATGAAGTGGCATGCTCTGTTCAACTGTGAGGGGGGGTTATGGCATGATATGTTCAATATTCTGATGATTTTATTTTCTCTTTCTCCTTGTCTTCTTCTTTCTTTTTTTTTTTTTTTTGGGTGTGTGTTTGTCACGCGAGTCAATAAATATACATTCATTCATACACACTGCCAAGTGTTAAGGAGAGAGAGACGATTTTTTTTAAAAAAAAGGATAAAAAATGAATTTACACGCCGGGGGATTGTCATGCGGAGCCTCGTCGCTTAAGTCGGAGACCACCGTTGCCACAACAACAGCAACAAAATTGAAAGGATCGGCGGAGTTGACGTCGCTTGTAAAGGTTTCGAGTTGGGGCAAAGGGAGCAGCAATCTCTGTGACTGCTCCTCTTGCCAGAAAAAAACAAGCGGGAACTTCATGACGGAGCCAAAGTTTGATTTGTCCCTCCATAAGTCACCACTTCTGCCACAGATGATGACGCAACCGTCGGCAATTTGCCCACACACCGTGTCCCACTCTCAGTCCGCAAAGACGCAGGACTCTGTGGAAATCCCTTCCTCAGGAAAAGATGCGGCAACATATTCTCGGACGGCAGCCAACACGTCATTGTTGCCACCTTGCACAGTGGAGCGCCAGCAATTTCATCATTATTATTCCCATCCTCATCAACAGCACCATGAGCAGCCTTCAGCGTCACGGAATTTATTGGCGTCGGGGGGTATTCCTTTGCAACGATACCGCGCCAAACTGGAGGAGTGTGCAGACCTTCATCGTCGCCTGCAGGACACTTGTGTGGAGCTTAGTGTGACACGGGAACATTTGTGCAGCGTCAAGGTGGACCGTAGCAATCTTATAAACGAAATTGAACGGCTTCGGGATGTACTGTTTGTGACCACAACTGAGCTACAAAGTATGCAGCAACGCGTGGAAGAATTGGAGCGGGAGAATAAGCACATGAGTGTTGAATTGCGTGGGCTTCAGGCACTCTCCATGTGTCCATCCAGGCGGATGGAAATAATCACAACTCTGAGAGCAACCCCGTACGACACCGATGCCGGCAAATCGGAAAATATTTACGGTACGAACACGGATTCATTTGCTCCTGGTGATATGGGTGCTCGTCGTCGTCTCACCAATTCCGCGGCGGCACTTTGTCTGGAGAGCAACCCATCCCTTTTGCGACGCTCATTGACATGCACCGATACGCTGAAACCAACAGATATATTGGCCTCATATGTTTGTGAGTGTTTCCGTACCGAGGTCGTACCGCATATGGAATTGTTGCACAGTTTGTATGATGGTTCTCGCCTGATGGCTGTCGACCCGCCCGTCACGCATGCCCAACTGAGCGCGTTGAAGCGTGTCCTCGTGGAAGCAGCGGCAGGAACAACAAGAATAGGAGGTGCAGGTGCAGCGTCAATTCGTAGGCTGGAAAAGAGGCCTTTGCCCCGTGTTGGCGGTCGTCGCTTGAGCCCCTTGACGTCTGCTAAGCGGTGGAATTGTCAAGTGGAACTTCTCTCGTTTCGGTGCGAGAATTGGCATGCCAGCACAAGTGTGCTGCTGTACATGATACGCTCCATTGAGTCTGTGCGTCATGTAGAGATCTTTTCCTTGACGGACGTGGCGGTCTTGCGGCAGTTGGCCGAGGCCCTTCTTATGGCACCCCACGTGGAGGTGCTCTCTCTGCCGGAGTTGTCCCTCGCAGACGATGGTCTGGCCGTGCTATTCTCATTTATGGTTCGACAAGAGCAGCTTGTCACGAAGGCCCCGGCAAGCATTGTGGAAACTAAATCTTCAACACGGACAAAATACGAACCTTTGGGATCGAATGAACCGCAAAAAGGCATTGGGGTTCTCTCCCATAATAGGGATCATAAGGAAGATGAAGATGATGATGGTGCTGGTGGTATTGGTGGAGAGGATGAGGAAGGGGAGGAGGCTTCATGTAAATTGGGGGATCATTCAGCTCAAGTGTCTTCTGAAGGTCGTTATGTGGAGCCACAATTCTCTATACCCTGCCTGGATCTCAGTCGCTGCAGGATTGACCACCCCACAGGGCTCTTTCGCACGTTCCGAGGCCCATTGGTAAAGGTACTTGTGTTGACTGGGTGCAGTGCACTGCGGGATGCGCATGTGCGTGACGTACTTGAGGCCTGCCCACAGTTGCATACAATTGACCTCTCAGGAAACGAAGGCCTTACAACGGCGTGTGTCCGGTACATCAGTCAACATGAACGGCTGAAGGTGCTACGGTTGGAAAACTGCCCCGCTATCAAGCGACTTGAGTTGGCCAATGTGGAAGTTCTCTTTTCCTCTCTTGCGTATGTGACAAGACTTTATGCCCCAGAGCTTTGTCGTCTGCCGGTACCACTCACACAATCTCATGTATTATTTGACCTCTACGCCCCTAAACTGAGGGAGATCATATTGAAGGGGATTGTTGTGGATCGTGGCACACTTGCTGCGTTTGTGCACAACGGTAGTAACGGCTGTGCAGGAGAACGCGAAGTTTCCTCGAGTCTTAGAGCCCACAGCTCCAGTGCTCGACCGGTGGAAAAAAATTTTTTGGAGGAGCAACAACAACAAGAACAACAACCGCCGCGGGAATGCGAGGGAGAGGATGAAGAGATGGAAGAGAAGCAGGAGTTCCAAGAGGAGCAGCAGGAGCAACAACAAGAACAACAAGAGGAGGAGGAGGAGGAAAACCAACACGAACCTGGTGACGTGCCGCAACTTTTGTCAGTTGGATTTATTGGGTGTCTTATTGCCTCTGCATCCGAATTGAACTCATTTATGAAGCAACAAACCCAACTGCTGCGTCTTTCTCTTCATGGCTGTCATGGGTTGGTGGATTCAAGCCTTGCGTGGCTTCCGCACACACTTATGGAACTTGACCTTGGCGGGGTTGCTCAGCTGACGGGCAGCAGTGTGAACGTCATTGCCACACGACTGCCGCAGTTAATTAAATTAAGTCTTAAAAACGCAGGTACGTCCATACAGAATGCGGATTTACATCGTTTACGCGGCCTAGGTAACTTGGAGGTGCTAAACCTGCTTGGTCTACCACAACTATTCCCAGAGGTGGTGGCCGCCGTGGTGGAGGCATTGCCGCAACTCCGTGTTTTATACCATGAAACTGTCGTGGTGGCCAGAACGCATCCGACAACCGTATTGCAGGTAAATCGCATTGACGAAGAGGACACCACACACCACGATATTCAACATTGTTTAAAGGAGCTGTTGCAACTACGCAACGAAACTGCACTTGCGCTTTGGATGGAAGCACAACTGCCCAAACCTGCACAACTTCTTCCTTGTCGTAATGGTGCCAGAAGCGGCACAGAAATGGGCGCAAAACAACCGCCGCTGACAATTAACACAACATTCTACGAGGCCACCCAGCTGGAATTGTCGCAGCAGGGCCGATTTACAATGGCTTTGGAAAACGAAGAGGAGGAGGAACCCTCGACGGCGGAGAACGGAGAGAACACGGTGGAGCAAGAGAAACCGGATGTGTTGACAATTTCCAGCGATCACGAAGAAGCGATGCCACACGAATTTTTTGATGGTGAAGGTGATAATGACGAGGATGACGAAAATGAGAAATCAAAACAGAGTTTATATGATACGCATCGAAGGACGGAATCGGGAATGGACGAGAAGAGCCGGTTGGCTATTGAACAGACACCTTTGGGTCCATGGGGGGCAGCCGACATTGTCGCAGAACATCGGCAGAATTCTGGGGGTTGAATTCCCTGCTAAGTGTCAGGAGGGGAGGGAGGAGAAAAGTGCAACAAGTTGTATGAATAGCAAGTAAAAAAAAAAAAAAAAAGGAAAAAAAAAAAAACCAGCAGCAACCTCTATTGCAGGAAAACTATTCTTGCCCATATGTCTTTTTTGGCTTGTCTTTTTTTTGTTTGTTTGTTTGTTTTTTTGCTGGCGTGTCCTGCCCACACCTCTTATGTAAAGCGCCAGTGTCTGTGTGTGTGTGTGTTTGTTGGTGTAGTTGGAAAACAGACGCTTCTCCTTCCATGCCATCAATTTTTGTTTTTCCTTTTGTTTTTTGTTTTGTTTTGTTTTTTTTATTTCTCCCTCTCTTTTCTCTGTGATTTGGAACACGCAAGAGCGACATTTTTTTTCACCCCGTGTATATATATATATATATATGTGTTTACTTGTTTATGTAAGGGAGGGCATGTAATTATGATAGAAGGGAGAGGAAGTGGTGTTTGGCATTTTGTCCTCATTTTTTTTTGTTCTTTTCGTGTGTATGTGTGTCCTTTGTTTGGTTGGTTTGTTTTTTCTTCCCTCATCCCCTCTTTCTCTCTCTCTCTCTGCATGTGTGCGGTATGTGTGTGTGTGTGTGAGGCTGCATGGAGCCTTCTTCTTCTTCTCATTGTCTCCAGCCTGAGCTTTGCGTGAGCTAATTTCCTTTTCTTCTTCTTCTTCTTCTTCTTTTGTTTCTGCTTGGTCCTTTGCCGGTTATTTGTTGTGTGTGTTTGTGTGTGTTTCCTTGGTTCTTGCAGGAGAGGGGGAGGGAATTAGTGCGGAAGAATTATTTATTTTTTTTTTTTTTTCTCTCTCTGTGTCGGATGGATGCGGAGGTGGAGGAGACAGGGAAGCCGAATTCCGCCGTGGCCTCACCCGTCGACAACGAGGAGAGGCAGCACGCGGTAGACAGCGAGGCCAACGGCGACCCCGCCGCCATGAAGGCAAAGACAAGTGCCACCGACCCCAAGAAGGCGCCCCCCTGCGATGAGTACCCGACGGAGGCGCCGAAATATTTTGCAAACAACCACCACAACAACAACAGAAGCAGCAGCAGGAGGAAAAGGAAGGGGGATGGAGGCGGAGGAGGGAAGAAAGAGGCGGCGGAAGAATATCCCATCGAGGAGTCGGGCGCATCGTCTCAACGGCTAAAGGGAGCCGATGTTCACCCTACCACGAGTCCCAGGAAAGAGTGGAAAGGGGACTCTCGACCCGTAAGGAAAAGGGAGTCGTCGCAAAAAAACCCACGCATTTCGCCTCAGAAAGTTTATTCCGCACCCATCGCTTCTGTGTCGAGACATCCAGAGAAATTGACGCAACAATATGGCAAAGCATCACCCACGGCGAGGCAGAAACGCGGGCAACAACAACAACAGCAGCAGCAGCAGCAGCAACAACGTCTTGCCTACTTGTTTTCAATGGGAAAAAATGGGGAATATGTCTCTCAGACCCCTCCTGCCGAAGAAGGTGGCCGGCGTGGGAGGGTTAGGAATCAGGCGTTTCTCGAGCATTATACAGGCGTCTATATGAAAACTCCCCGGGCGCCGCGGCGTCAACAAACGTTGCGCCCTATAAACCTGGGCGATGAAAGGGGTAAAACCCTCTTAAATGAAGCCGCACAGGCATATGATCGCAAGGCCGATGATTTACACCGCGATGATGAGTACCCTGTTGAGGATACACAAGATGGACAGGTGCCATTGCTAGGGCATACGCATAAGAGCGACAACAATATGGAAAGTGACAGTGGTGAGGCAAAAGCCAAGTGGATTCCTTTTTCACGGGGCGTGAATCATCTCTCAAGTATGAGTATGGTCAATGTATCTTCTGTGAAGAAAGAGTTCATGGAGGACAATGTGCCGTCCTGCGATGAATCCCAAAGGCGTATTTCTTCACAACGGTTATTACAGACACGGCGTCAGAATGACGAATTTCAGCGTTGTCTGCATGAACTAATTGACCTATTTAACAGCAGGAGCGAGAAGGATATGGTGACAAGTCTGGGCTTTAGTTACGCCTGTATTCTCGCTGGCAAACGAAGGCAAAAGCTTTCAGAAATGCCAGAAGTTTGGTTTATGAGTCGTCGTGCATTACTGCTGCCCCAACACCGCGAGGCTGCGGAGCGGGCACAGGAAACAGCACAGCTTCCACTAATTTACTCCAACAGCAACAACAACAACAGGCGAAATGAATCAAGTGCCTCTTTTGCGGAAAATGTGCCGGGAACGAAGAAATCGGGATGTTCTAATGAAAGGAGAAGCAACGGGTTGCAAAGTGTGCGACCAGCGCAGCACGAGAGTCAGGATGCCTTTGCTGAGTTGGAATTGGAGGAATGTGAGCAAGGGAGAAACACGGATGGTTTCAAGAATGTGGAATCAACAGAAGAATTGGATGATGTGCATTGCGAAGATGAGAAACACAAGGAACTGCTTGCCGGATGAACGTGTTGTGTTTTGGGCTGAGGAGGACGAGCAGGAGAGAAGGAATGTCTCATGAAAAGACACTTGACTCCTTGATTTTTCATCCTTTCGAGGTTTTACTGTACCATTTCTGTTTATCATGTGAATCATGTGAATCAAAAAATAAAATGAAGGGAACTGAATGAGGAGAAGATCTGTTATGTAAGAAGAAGACGGGAAAGGAAGAGTTGAATGTGAATGTCTTTTCCCACACCCTCTCCCATTCCTCCCTTTTTCTCGCCATATATATATATATATTTATGTATTGCGCATACGGCGCATAAATTAGTTTCTTTTTTTTTTTTTCCCCCTCTCCTTTTTTTGATGGAGTTTTTTGCATGTTGTGGTGGTCCTATATATATATATATGTTTATTTATTTTTATTTATTTATAATATATATATACATGTATATATATGTCGTAGTGTGCGTTTCTTTTATTTTTTATATTTATGTGTGTTTGTATGTGTGAGTGTCATTATTGTCCTTCTTTTGTTTGTACTGCAGTCCTCCCTCCTGTGTGTGTGTGCGTGTGTCTTTTCCCGCAGAATGAGATGGCAGTCGAGGGGTTGAAACAATATCTGCAGCGGTGGCGACGAGGTGGGCGTGTGAGCGGGGCAACGCCAACAACGCCTTTGGTTGACACGGAGCTGCCACGTAGCTTCAGGCCACATCGCATCGTTCCTCGCGTTTATCTGGGGGCTCTGAAGGATGTGCAAGACACCTGGGAATTGCATCAACGTCTTCTACCGGAGGAAATGCTGTTGATTGTGTCTACATGTGCGTGCAGTTTTATGCCACAGCTGGAAATGCGGCAAATACTTCCAGTGAGAAAAAAATGCAGAGAAAAAGGCGTTTCACCTCGAGTGCGGCGGCTCGCAGTGTGTTCGTGGGAGCAGCTGGAAGAGCGCATCTCGAATCCCTTAGACGGCGTGACTTCTCCCGCGGCAGCGGACGAGGTCATGGTGGCAACGGCCCAATGGTTGAGACAATCACTGGAGTCAGGGTCGTTTGTTTGCGGTGGCAAGACAATGGAAGCGCGGGTATGTAGAGAGAGGGAGGAGAGTGATGACGTGGGGTTGGTGTATTTGAAATTGTCTCTGCCATGGAGGGACGAATCGCCATTTCCGGTGTGGGAGCATTTCCATGTATCCACAGCAATTATGCGGGCGGTGGTGGATGGATTGGGTAAGGCGGTGGTGTGTCACTGCATTGCGGGAGTCTCACGCTCCGTCACGCTGGTCTGCGCGTTCCTCCTCCGCTGCTTTTGTGATGATTCAACTGTGAGTAGCCGCCCATGCACGGCTAAGGAGGCTGTTAAAACAGTCATTGGCTTTGTGCGTGAAGTTCGGCTATGTGCGTGTCCAAATGATGGCTTCATGCAGCAGCTTGCGGAGTACACCAGCCGTCTCCTCTCCGCCTCAGTGAATTTTCCCTAAAATGTAAAGAAAGAAAGGGAGGGTTCATGATTCAACAAGTTGTGCGAAGTAACCCCCGTGTGTAATGTTTCCTTTGTTTTTTCGCAGTGGTTCCCTCCCCACCCTTCCTTCTTTTTAGTTTCTTGTTGTTGTTGTTGCGATGTGGGCTCTTCTCTTTTTGTTTTTGTTTTAAATATATATCTTCTCCTTCTCTTCTCTCTCTTTTTTTTTTTTCCCATTCCTCTCATGGTTGCATGCATACACACATACAATAGGGAGTACATGTATGTATTATTTTCCGTGTGTGTGTATGAGTACGGTGGATAGACGGTATAAAACTCTATCATTTTTTTTTTTTTTTTCAGTATTATTATTATTATTATTATTGACACAAGCAATATAATATATACTCTACGACGATTATTAAAATGGAGCTTTTTGTCTTAACAAGCACAGAGAGCTCGCAGGAGTCAAGTGAGGAGGAGAAGGAGAAAGATGGCCCTGAGTGTACATCTGAAACCAGCACGGTGGAACAATTTGTCCCCGCCCTTATTTGCATGCGTTGTTATATGCCTATTGCGCAGTATGATGAGATCCTCCCACATCGAGCCACAGATGCGTGGGCATCGCAAGTATACACATATGAGTTGGATCTTTTTGAAAACAAACCACCCTTGTGGTGTTACTCTGCCACCAATCCATCCACCCATCGCTTTGACCTTGTGCGATGCGATGCTGTGATTGCGTTGCGGCGTCATTTACTGTCATTCTACGGCCAATGGTCAGCGGAGCACTCTTTCTTCGTCGGCCACGAGTGGTGCTGTGTCGCATGCCGGGCGTGTCAAAACTTTTTAGGGTGGGGCTTTCGGCGAACGTTGAATGTATCGAGGGATACCGAAAATGAGACATTGGAGACGGAGGAGGATGCAGAAGTTCCAGTGGATAATAATCTCAGTTTTGTTGGGATTATTTTGACTCGCTGCATCGGCAATGATAAGTACCCGCTGTCACAATTTGAGGCCTGCGCAGCCATTGGTGCTCTATTAGGACCCTCGTAGCAGCGGCTGGAGGAAAGAGAGAGAGAGAGAGAAAGAGTCCGCATCCACCAGCAACAACAAGGAGACAAACACATATATATACACACACACACACACACAGTGAAAAGGCGCTTTTTTGTTTTTATTCTCTCTTTTTTTTTTTTTTTTTTTTTTGTGTGTGTCTGTGTGTTGGAGCTGCCGCCTCTATAATTCTCTCTCTTTTTTTTTTCTTTTTTTATTTTTTCTTCTGCGGGTTCCATCTGCATGGCACGTGTGTTTGTTTGGGTTTGGGTGTGTGTTCATGCACCATGGAGTTTGAGAAGTTGACATGAAGTTTTCATAGCGAAATGGGCACAACATGTCCGAGTTGCCGGATGCGACGAGGAGTAGGAGGAGAGGAAAAGGGTGCAGATGTAAATACTCCAGGGGAGAAAAGAAAGAAGATTGGGAGGGGGGAAATTGCGGTGGCGCATGACTGCTTTTCCTTCTGTTTCTTTCTCTCTCGCTTTCTCTCTCTTTTGTTTGATGTGCATGTGGTTGAAAAGGAAGGGTTAAATTTAAACAAAAAGCAAGAGGAAAAAAGGAGAAAAACAAAAAAAAAAAGTAAGCGAAGTTTTGGGTTGCAAAAAAAGAGGATAAAAAACATACATACATACAGAGAGAGAGAGAGAGACGATAAAATGGCGCAGAGTTTTGATGGTTGGTTGAATAGTTTAGGCCCTTTCACGAGGTATACTCTCATTGCCGTGGTGCTTCTCACAGCCCTTGCCTCAATGCAGGTTGTTCCACTTGGCTACATCCTGCTTTCATCGGCTGCCTTTAAGGAACTTCAGCTATGGCGTCTCATCACTGCCGCCTTGTTTTTTGGTGGGTTTTCCTTTCCCTGGCTTATCTCTGTCGCCATGTTTGTGTCGTACCTGAACTACAACGAGACGTATGACTTCAATGGGAAAGGTGGGGACTTTATATGGATGGGACTTTTCCTTATTCTCGGGAACGCCATGGGTGCCATTCTGCTTGATATGCTTGTTACCAGCTTTTCCTTGTTGATGTCACTCTGCTGGGTCTTCTGCAAACGGCACCCGGAACTGCGCATGAATCTCTATGGATTTGATTTCCATGCCAACACATTCCCATGGATTCTTCTTGCATTTCACCTCATTCTTGGGCAGAGCATTGTGGGCGACATTCTTGGCATTGTTGTGGGTCATGTCTTCTTCTTCTGTAGGGATGTGTTGCCCAAGACGCATAGGATGGATCCACTCCGTACGCCCGTCTGGTTTCAGCGGTATGTGATGCCGAATGTTGGTTTTTCCGGTGTCAACACGTTGTACCCGGCCGTTCACCCGCAAGATGCGAGGTTTTCTCGCCAGGCACAACCCCCCAATGCCGGACAACGGCATCGCTGGGGAGCAGGAAATGTCCTTGGTTCCGAGTGACTTTGCATGGATCAGGTCCATGTGTTGTAGTTGCTTTTTCTTGTTCCGTTGTTGTTGTTGTTTTTTGTTCTTCTCCTCTTTGAGTTGTTTTGGCCTTGTTTGCTTCCCTTTTTGAGTAATGAAAATTGGAGGTGCGAAGAAAAATGAGTTTTACTGTTAAAATGGAAATTGGATCGTTCCTTGTGCGCTTCTCAACCTTCCCACCCTACACACACATACACACACAGAGAGAGAGACACACACAAACCCTGAAATACATATTTCCATGCGTGAATTTTATATCTTGATGTTGCGAGTGAGGTAATTAATATATATATATATATATATATATATATATGTATATTTGCATTCATGTGTGTGTGTGTGTGTGTGTCACTGTCAACAATGAGGTTTGATTCGCTTTTTTTCATTTTTTATTATTCTCCCTCGGTTTTTTTTTGTTTTTTTGTTTTTTTGTTTTTTTTTGGGGGGTGGGGGGATGGTTTTATTCCCCATTCATTCAGTTCTTCAGTGGACCGCTGTGCGTGTGCCGAAGAAGGCTTCTACGGGGTGTGTTTTTTTGTGTATCTCAAAGGCAATCGGGTTTGTAAGGAACCTCCTTCCTCCCCTCCCGTTGCTGTTGGTGTTGTCTGCTCGCACATGGGGTTGGATGGTGGAGTGGCAGTTCCCGCCGCCGTGTCGGGCGCCCAGCGGGGAGAAGAATGTGCTGCCGAATGTGAACGGTTGGTCAGTGCCTTGGATGAGGCCCAGCGGGCCGCCGTCTGCGAGGACACTTCTGCGTCGCTGTTAATTCTCGCCGGGGCCGGTAGCGGCAAGACACTGACGATGGCAAGCCGCATCGCGTACATTATTCTCTCTGGGGTGGCGCCGGAGAAGATTTTAGGCCTTTGTTTCTCGCGACAAGCCGCGGAGGCGTTGAGGGAGCGTGTGGCCACGGTGCTGCCGCCGTCAATGGCAGCGCATGTGCAACGGCTGAAGCTGAAGACATTTCACGCCTTTGGTCTCGAGTGTCTTCGGCGTCATGGCTGCATTGACCTTGCCACAGAAGTGTACGACGCACGACGGCAAAGGGAACTTGCTTCTGCTGTGGTGGAGGCGCATGCGTTGCACCACAAGGGCCTCGAGGCCGTCCTCGCACTTGTGGAGTATGTGAATAAGGCCAAGACGAAGAAGGACATGCGTGCCGGCACAGAAATTGATCCCTCACGACAGGCAGCGTACCTATTTCGCTTCTACCAAGCAATGTTGCATGAGCAGCACAACGCCGTTGACTTTGGGGACCTGGAGCAGATGTTTCTTGAGACGCTGCGTCCTGTGGGACGGCAGGAACAGCCGTCCGAGGAGGGAGTGGAGGGAAATGGGGGCAGCAACAGCAACAGTCTCATGAGTGTTGTCCCGCCACCCCGCCTGTCATCTCCGGTGGCGTTGCAGTTGCGGGCACAATACACGCACATTGTTGTCGACGAGTTTCAAGACCTGAACGAGGTGCAGCTTGAGTGCCTTGCCCTTCTTGCGGGTGACACGTGTCGCGTGACATGCGTTGGGGATCCGAATCAGTGCATCTACACTTGGAGAGGGGCGACAACAAACAGTTTTGAACGCTGGCGGAGCCGATTTCCGCAAACCAAAATTGTAACGTTGGGTACGAACTACCGCAGCTCCGAGGAGATTGTGAACGCCGTTAATGCCGTCTCGCAGATATCTCAACAGAGTTTTAGGGGAGAGTGTGGACGTCGCATCATTCTCATACGATGTCCACATGCGTGGGAACAAATGTCCCTCCTTCCACGTGTGGTGGAAGAGTTACTGCGCACAAGGGACCGTGGATTAAAATACAGCGACATCGCCATTCTTTGCCGTACACGTCGAACTGTACGGGATGTTGTCACGGCGCTAGAACGGGATCAGATCCCTGTCTGCGAACTGCGTCCAAGTAGACCAAACTCCAAAGCGCTGGTCCGCGCCATATTGTCTTACCTGCGTCTCTGTGTACATCCCCACTCGAACCTTGATGTGGAGTGTGTGATACGCGATGCTCCAAATCACTTTTCGGCGGCTGCGGCCACTAAATTTATCTTTGCCATGCAAGCCGAGTGCCTTCAGCGACGGCGCGAGTTGAGCACAGCCAAGCTACAGTGTGAGGATAGTCATGCGACTTACTCTTACTACACGATTCTTCGAGAGTTGGTGCATAACGGCTTTGCTCACGTTCATGAGCGGCTACGCACGACAAAACCACAACAAAAATTTCTCCGCAACTTCATTGAGGTCACCACAGCAGCCCACGATGCCCTTGGACGTATGTACTGTGATATTGAAGAGGTGGTACGGGGCGTTGCAGAGCGGGCGGGTTTTGATGGGGGAAGTGCCACAAGCGTACAAATTCGGCGTCGCCCATGTTGCGGTACCAAACGTCGACGTTCTTCTGCCCCATTACGGCGCTCTGCAGCGATTTGGGATGATGTCATGGGTGACGCCGAGGACGAAGCCGGTGCAATGGACGAGGAAGGGGATGCAATGTCTATTTCACAGGTACTCGTCGAGGCGTCTCGCACGGTGCAGCAGCAAGTGTTAGTGGAAAAGAAAAATGTTGACAGTAGTCAGGAACGCTATGGAGAAATCAAAAACGGCAAAAACGACATGGGTGATGCGGCGTCCGCCGTCAAGGCGGAAGCCAAAGTGCAGAACGATGCCTACACTGTGCTGCAGCGCGTCATTGACGAATTTCTTGCACTTCTTCCGACAGATGACTTTGGACCGCTGAAAGGGGGAAGCAATGTGAAGATGGAGTCAACGCAGGTCGCCACAGTCACAGTGACGACAGTGCATCAGGCAAAGGGAAAGGAGTGGCTTTCCGTCATTGTTCCTTGTTGCTATGAGGGCGAGTTCCCCATTGATGTGAAAAGAGCGGAGGAGCGGCGGGTCTTTTACGTTGCCATGAGCCGAGCAATGCGGGATCTTGTATTGATGACAGCCGAATTTGGATCTCTCGCCCCACGTGACTACGATGATGGGAATGGGGCCGTGGGAGGAGCGGAGCAACCGCTGCATATCACACCCTATCTGCGTCCCCTGATGCCATTCATGGAAACATTGTCCATGACTTGTCAGGAGCAACCGAAAGGGGGAAACGTAGGTTCATAATCGCACCGCGCATAAATCACATAAAAGATACAACTTCTTTTGTTCAGTACCCCCTCTTGTTGTTGTAGTGTTGGTTGTTGATTTTCTTTTTTTTCTTCTATTTATGAGCTTCAATGTGAGCTTGAGGTATAACGTTTGTGTGTGTGTGTTTGTTTATTTTCTCTCTTCTCTGGTGTTAATTGTGTTATACTTGTTTTGCTTGTGTGTTTTTGTTGTTGTTGTTGTTTTTGGTCTGCGGGTGGGGGGGTTAGCTTCTCTTTTGCCTTCTTGCATACGCCCCACCAATTTTGGGAATTACACGATAGCAAACGGTTTCCTAATATATACACAGAAGCAGAGGGGAAGTGAGGAAAGGGGAGGAGAACACTCTTTCTTACCATCATGATGACACATATTGAGCCCTCGACCATAAAAGGCTTCTTTGCCGGTTCCGGTTTGGATGCTTTTGGGGAAACAGCCGTTGTGGACCGTGTGTTGATGCTCACAGGACTCTTTGACATGGAAAAAAAGGTGTTGACGGCGCCTGTGCATGTAGCATACATTGGGACAGCGGTCTATGACATCCCAACGTATAAAGAGAGACAGACCAAGTGGTTTGTTTCACGTGGCTGCACCGTGGCGGAGGTGCGTGTGGCGGATCTGTCCGTCCCGAACACCGTCGATAAGGAGGAGCTGGAGTTTTTAGGAAAGGCTCATATTGTTGTGGTGTCGGGTGGCAACACACTCTTTGCGATTCGGCGATGGGAAGAGACGGGGCTCGATGTCTGTCTTCGGGCCGTGGCGGTGCGCGGTGCCGTCCTGGCAGGCGGAAGTGCCGGGGCAATTTGTTGGTTTACTTCTGGCCACAGCGACTCTGCAGACCCTTCCACGTACGCCACGGCGATGTTACGCGCGGCATGCGGCGACGCCGTTGCAAAGAAAGATGATGATGATGACGGCAACGCCAAGAAGACAAGCAAGACGGAGGAGCAGCAGCAGCAGCAGCAAGAAGACACGTCGTGGAGTTATATCCGTGTACATGGCCTGGGTCTATTGCCGGGTCTACTCTGTCCACATTATGACATGCGTGAGACGAATGGTGTGCTGCGGGAGGAGGATTTTGACAAGATGATGAAGCGTCACCCGACGGAGCGTGGGATTGGCATTGACCACTGGGCCGCGGTTGTGCTACCAGGGGATGGCACATATGAAGTCTTCTCCGTGCCCGGCAAAGGACGTGGGACCAACAAGGACAACACGATGGCGCCGGCCGTTTACGTGAAGGATGTCGTGGATGGTCAGCTGCATTCGGTGACGATGCCGGAGAGGGGCCGATTAAATGAATTCCTGCGGCAGCCATGCGGTCCCGTTGTGCGTGATCCCTTTGAGGCATACTACGCTATGGCGAACCCAACAGCGACAGGCGACAAGCTCCTCTGTCAGTCCCGTTAAATAACGGGAATAAGGGAATCAACGGTATGCGGTGATGGTGGCGATGAAGAAAAAAAAGAAGAAGGAACGTGCATGACTGGCGGTTGTGGTGTCAGCAAGCTTTTTTTTTTTGTACGGCTCTGTGGTGAGTGCGTTTTTTTATTTATTTGTTTATTTATTATTATTATTATTATTGTTTCTTTGCCATTGGGAACATGACAGGTGAGATGGAATGCGGGGCGTTTGCCTGCTTGCATTCCCCCTTCCCTCCCTCTTCCTGCTTCTGTGACAAATGTGACTCTTCTCTTTTTGTTTTTTTTTGCTCGCATGCCGTCATCGCCGCACAAGAAAAAAAGGCAACCGCAAAAAATAAACATCTATATATATATATATATATATAGAGAGAGAGAGGGAAAGAGGTGGGGAACTGATTGATTGGTATCTCTTCTTCCTGTTTGTGGGTTATCACGGCGGAATGCGGAGGGTGAACCGTGACGGCAACAATCACGGGGCGGCGGATGGGCCAACTACACCGCCCTCTGAACAAAAGCAGGAGGGTGACCATCATCACCACCACCACCAATACCAACGGCGGCAACAACAACAAGAGCGAGGTGGAGGTGTGCGATTGCGAGGGCCGCCTATGCAGGCCAGGCAACCGCAGTGGGACGGAAGCGGTGTAGCGCTGTGGTCGCTGGTGGGCGCGGTTGTGGTCCTGCTAGTCGCCATGCTGCTACCGTGGAAAACACTCTTGGATGACTGGAGCAACTGGGACGAGGGGTCAGCGGAACAAACCCTGCTGCAGGCCCCACCGCCGAGGAGGTACACGGATGTCATGACGCACAGTGAAGACACAAGGAGGCAAGAAGGGGAGGCCAAAGGCAGACCGGAGCCGTCGTGCTACACCCTTGAGGCCTACAGCATGAAGTTTATTGCGCCGGCGCAGAGACAGGAAGCCACACCTCAGCACTTTTACCGTTGTGGAACGCGTCTTATAGATTTGGACACGGAAGTAAACCGTAGCAAACGGGAGATATGCACCGCAGCCACAGAGAAGAGCCCAACATTGTTTTCCACTTTACGTGTCTATCTTGAAAGTGCATTTGAGGAAAAGGCACATCTTAAGCAACGGGATAATGTGGCCGCCCAAACCATTTCTCTGGAGCGGGTTAATGATGACTACTGTGACTGCTTGGATGGTACTGATGAATTACAAACAAGTGCCTGTAGCATGTCTGGTACCGTGTTGCCGCTTGCCCACATGCGGTGGAAGCAGTATCTGCTGGCCAATGCACATATACAGCTATACGAGGAGGAGGAAGCACCGTCCATGCGTCGCACAGAGCGACTGTTGCGTCGACTAGGTGGCCCTGTGCTTCCATTTCGTTGTCGTAGCGATCCAGACGTTTGGCTGGCACCCTCACGAGTTGGCGACGGCGTTGTGGACTGCTGTGACGGAAGTGACGAGGCGACAAGCCCAAAACATCACCCCACACACGAAGTGCAGGGAGAAGACAGTTGGAGGTCACGGGTTATTGCCATAGAGCCTTATCTTGGAATGCATAGTGGAGCTGCCAGCCCTCTTTATCCCATGGCTAGTGGTAATCGCACGGTTGCCGCCATGTTGCTAGAGAATGGCTTTACATCGCTTATGAGCTGCCGTCGTGTCAAGGAGGAACGGCTCAATAGTGCACGAACACTCCACGAAGTTGTGAAGCGGGGCAATGCCATACACAAGGATCGTGAAGCCAATGGCTGGGAGAAGTATGGAAAAAAATTGGTAGAGCATATTGCTCGAAAGAAAACGGAGCTTGATGCCGCTTCAAAAGAATTTGAGACACGTCGAAGCCAAATCGCAAAAGAAATGGAAAAGATGGGGAAATCGGATCCCATTTCGGCAGGCATATCACCCGAAGAAGTTCAAGCTATGAATCAAATGTATGCTGAGCTGCAGAAACGTGGTGAGAGTCTGCGACTTGTAGTGATGATACTTTCATTCCGTTGGTTAGGCGATGACTTTGAGTATTACCCGCTTGCCGATGCCCATTTTACGGTGCCAGTTAACCGCGTGTTGGAGACGGCGCGGAGCACTTCACCTGAGGTCCAGCGGGTTCAAGCATCACGCCGCTACAATGACTCTTACGTCATTGAATCCATCCCTGTACATGTGGACAATACCTCTTATCGGAAGTTTTCATTCTATCCATGTTTTTACCTTGTCGGAGCTCGAAATCTTACAAAGGAGCAGTCTGCGATCATCATAAAACGCGCTTATGGACTGGAAGAGAATGAAAGCCTGAATGTGTCCGGTACGGAGAATTTTGAAGAAAGCCTGCCGGTTGTTTTTGGCTTCTGGAGGCCTGATCTTTCAGAAGTAACTATCGACAATTTTCAATCGGTGGATCCCTCCGGGAACGGCGTACTACGACGGCGTCTTTTCATGTCCGAACCCGCACCTGTCATGGGTGGTGTTGAGCAAATTCTTCAGCATGAGCGGCTTTCATATGGTGGACGTCACCGACGCGTCATGCGTCTTGGGCCCACGGATTTACGTGAGCAGCTGCAACAGGCACTTCAAGGAGCCACTAATGACACGGGAATAGAGATGCCGCAGCAAAAAAACACACCAGATCTTGCATCCGTGCGGATATTTAGTGGAGGTATTCCGTGTGCATTGGATGATGCCATGGATAACAGCGGTCGTCTGGGCGAGGAGGAAGAGGAAGAAAAGGAGAATACGCCCCGCAGCCACGGACGTGTTGTTTATGTTTGCGACGAAGAAGACCTCGTGTTGGAATGGCACCGCAACGGCAAGTGTGCACATGAGGTGGTGTTTGGAACCCCAAGTGCGTGCCCGCCATGGGTGAAGGAGGCTTCAGCGGCACGTGTACGGCAGGCGGAGGAGGCATTACAATATGATGAATGATACCGGAAGTAAATAATTACATTGTTTTTTTTGTTTTTTTTTTTTTTTGGGTCCCCTTTTCCATAGGGCCAACTTCTTTTCTTCCTGCAATGTTGTTGTTGTTGTTTTTTTGTTCATTTTAATTTGTTTTTTGTGGGGGGGGGACTTATTTATTTGTTAAGGATTTGTCTGGGAGGGAGTGTCAGCCTCTGCAAATCTGACAATTTACATCTCTTTCTCTCTCTTTCTCCGCGGGCGTATGTGTATGTAGTGTGATGCCTCTGTGTGTGTGTGTGTGTGCACATGTGTAACACCCAGGCGTCATGAATGGGTACATGCAATTAGGCTTGGATATCTGGGTTGAGTTGTATGCATGTATGTACGTGCTTCAGCGGTTTATGTATATATCCCCTCTCTTTCTCTCATTACTGTTCTTGAGGGAACAACAACAAGAACAGCCAACACTAGAAACGGTAGTTACTGGGACTGTGGCGGGGCAGTTTACATATATATATATAAATATATATATATATATATATATATTTTTTTTTGGCATAACTCCGCGTTGGAAATTGCGGTGGATTCCATCAAACCGCTCCGGATGAATGGTGCAGGGCATAACGGTGGCGGTGGTTGTGGGACCCCAGCTGGAGCTCGGCAGGGACAACAACAACAACAGCAGCAGCCGACGGATATGTTTGTTGCCTGCTTTGAGGCTGCCCTGGACGAGGAGTTGAGAGGGCAGGAGATTTCTAGCGGCTTCCGTGTCTGTTTTGAGAAGATCGGCTCACCATACGGCTTTATCCGAAATGAGGGTCTCCGTGAGGCTCTGCAGCGTTTGTGTGACTTGTCTCTTGAGGCAGCGGAGGAGGCGGCGCGTTTGGCGAATAAAACACCAGGCACCACCACCACCACCACCACCGCCGCCGCCGCTGGGGGAAATACGACTGCCACACAACCCCATCTTCCATATGATGCCATACACTCAGCCGTCATGCCACGTAGTGCGGTTGACCCTCACAGCACAGCAACCCCGATGAATCATGCGGCGTCGGGCTACAGTGCATCGTGGGAACGTACCCAGAGGGCTTTAAATGGGGCACATTACACAATGTCAGTTTTTCACCGCGTACTTGTACCGCGTGTGGATGAGCGCTCCCAGTGCAATCCTGGCGGCCCCGTCACTATCGAGCTGTCGGAAGAGGCGGCGCTGGCATGGAATACTTTGAATCATGCCCAGAGGACAACCCCGCCTTCATCGCCATCGCCTGTGGGAAAAAAAAAAGAACTTGACATCACACTGACAGAAGTGACCTATCAAGAACAGGAATTGGCGTTACGGTTGCTTCAAGGCCTAAGTTTGGTCGTATACGACCAACGTCGTGTGATAGCTGAAGGTCCCCTCATTACATTTCTGGTTGAAGTTTGGCAGTGTTGTCTGCAACATATACAAGCTCTTTTTAGCCTTCGTCGCCGCATAACGGCGTTGGAAAAAACAGGGGATACCGTTTCCTCCACACCACACTCGTTTGAGGAGGGACCTGTTCAACTCGTGCCAGACTTAGAGACTGTAATTGTTGCCACTATCGATGCAATGGAGGCGGCATGTCACTACAACCCAATCGCGTTGACTCGCATCGTGCAACAAGGGGGAGTACGGGCCCTCCTGGACTTGGGGCTTTGCCCATATGCCCCATACGACATCCGATGTGCGGTCTTTGATACGGTTAGTGTACTGATGCAAGAAGTTGCCCCATTTCGACGCGCGGTTGCTGCAGGGGCTGCAGGGGCCGCCGCTGCGGGCGTCAAAAAAGGAAATGAGGATGAGTTAATCCAAACAATGATCCAGCAAGCGATGGCGGGTTATTTAGGTCGGCAGGCGGCCCCGCCACCGTTTCTTATGGACCGTGCGAGCGCATCAAAATTTGACTCCGCAGTTCGTGATTGGTTTAGTCAACAGGGACTGAGTCATGTGGTGTCGGCGGTGTTGGAGCTACGCGATGTGCGCGGAACACCGATTGCCGTCGGGGCGATGCCAAAGGCAGAGGTGGCACGTAACGTGCAGCGTGTAAACCAGCTGCGTGAGAAGCATCTACAGGCTTTGCTGCAAGCGGTGGACGGCAAGCGGGCGGCGTTATGAATCGTTGGCGATGTTTTGTATGCGTTGATTGCGACTCCCCATTCAGAAAAAAATGGGGAAGAGAGAAGATGAAGAAAGGCACATTCATCTCTTTTCCACCTCCATTTGTGTGTGTGTGTGTGTGTGTATTTGGTACCCGTTGGACAACCAACGACAGGGGCCGTGGCGAGAGAAGGGAAAAAAAGTGGGAGAAAATGTCAATTTTAAGCAGAATGATTTTTTTTTTTTTCGTATTTGTTATCTTTGCGTGTTCTTTCACACACACTCACTGTCTCTACCCTTTTACTTCTCTTTTTCTTCTTCCCATCATTTCCTCATTGTTGTGCACATTGGGGGGACCTGCCCATGTGCACGTATTGAATGCAGAGCAAAAGGGGGGTGAGTGAACGAGAGGGAGAAGGAAGGAAGAAGGGAAGGCCGTGTTATTGATTGCAGGACTGTACTGCAGCTGCCGGAGGACGTCATTGACGCCTCTGTCCTTCACACCAGGCACACAAACAATCACACACAGGGACAGACGGACAGAGCGTGTGTGTGTAACAATTGAGGTGGAGAGGGGAAAAAAGGGAGACGTCTTTTTGTGGCAGTGGTGAGAGGTGACTGGGAAGTAAAGAGATGAATTTGGGAGTGGATGCTCGCTTCCCTCTGGATGTCTCCTTTGATATCCTACGACGTGTGTTGGACGAGGAGAGTCTTGTCCTGGCACAGCTTGCATACATTGTGGGGCACCTGCATGACCCGATCCTTCAGAGCTGTGGTCATGGGAATGTGGCCACAGGACCACGGCGTAGTCATGGAAATAATGAAAGCAACGCTGTTGGAACGAAACAACAACCTGCTATTTTACGGTTTGCGCAGTACTGGGAATTGTTCGCCAACATTGCCACCTTACATGGCGCTCAAAGCACCATTGTGGGAAAACTGGAGGAAGTTGTTAATAACAGAACGCATTTCCTCGATCAACAACGAGAACAAAAAAAAGAAGTAAAATCCGGCCTTGGTGCTGCAGGGAACGTTCAAATGAGGTCGTCATCTTCATCATCGGACGGTGGGACAGACGAGGGCATGCGTGGTCCGCAGAGTATCTCGGAGTTGTTTTGCTCCGCGGCGATGCGACACTACATAGCGGAGCACATGATGTACAGTCTAAACTACAGTCGTAACATTGCTCCACGTGTGATGGAATTATGGAGGCTTTGGCGTTGTCGTTGCGGTAAAAACACCAGCGCCCACCTCAGTGCTCGAGAAAGGCAAGAATTGGAGAGTTACATGGGGTTTTTGTATTTTCTATGGCATGCCTTTGGCGGCGAAGATGGTGTGCCGGACGACCCGCGTGTGATATTCACACGACTTCCTGAAACCCTTCTTGTGAAATCACAAAAGCCAAAAAAAGATCGTACCGGCCATAACACTGCCGTCGTCCCTGTCAAAATGCCAGATGCTCCATCGATCCCACCCAACTGGAGAGGGTTTGAAACGCTGCTCGTTCTTTTGGCAACTCCGCTTGCGTCGCTTCGTCGATACATGCATGTGGCGCGCTGTATTATCGAGTCTCAGTCCCTCCCCATTCTTGTGCGTCAACGTCTGCAGGTAGACTTTGTTGATTTGTTGGTGCTTCGTCTAGCCGAAGAGCACAGCATTGTTTTTGACGAGTTGGCGAAACAAGACATTTCTCACATCATGGCGCTCATTGACGAGGTGTCATCCCCGGCACCATCGGAAGCACACGAAAAGAAATTTCCCCGTATTCGTTTGGACGAGGACGGTAGCCGCACACTTGTGCATTACGGTCGTCTCATTAAGCGATTTCGTCGTGGTCGCCATGAACGACTGGTGTTCCTCTTTAGTGACTGGCTCTGTTATGTGGAGGAGCAGACGAATGGACGCATGCGGCTGCGTGCGTCCATCTCTCTTGAGTCGCTGCGGGTTGTCGAGCTTGACGACACCGCGGAAGTTGTGAATGGCTTTGATATTGTGACAAAAGATATGCGTCTCACGTTCTTCGCCCCGACGTTGGAACAGAAGCGGCAGTGGGTGGACGCGTTGCGCAACACGACCGAGGCGTACAAAGTGAAGGTGCAACAACTGGCATCCCCGCGGCGTCAAGATATTTCACGGCAGCAGCAGCAGCAGCAACAACAACAAAATAAAAGTTTGGGTCATCTCGCGTGTCAGACACGTGTGACGGCCCTGCCCTTGTCGCATAACTCACGTCTTCGCCGGCAGCAACGGGCGGATCATGCACTCCAGCGGCGTCTGGAGCGGCGTTCCACGGCGGAGTTAGCCACCACCAAGTCTTTAGTGGCAGACGAAATCCCTGCGCCTGTGATGGGGAGTGACGCAGCGAGAAAGCAGCCGGCGCTGTCATTTCGACCGCTACATGGCAATTTTGATGTCACTTATTGGGCGCAACAGTCGACAGAGACGGTGCACAAACGTGTTCGCAGCTCGGATCTTCTCCGTTCGTCCTGGGCGCTACAATCCCCGCACGATCCAAATGCCTGCGAGCCGAAGGCTGTTGCCCCTGGTATGGACCCCCTCAATCATGGCAAGAACTCTACTACCACGGCCGCTGCTGACTCTTCTGTCCACAGTGCGGATGCTCCAGCGTCTGCGGGATATTCTCCCACGAGCCCGCGGGTGCCGCCTCGAGCGGTGCTTTCTCGGCTGCTTTCGGAACGTTTTCAAGAGCCTTCCTTGCCTCCTCTGTATAGTGGTGGCAATGCCAACTCGCCTTTACCAGAGAACGTGTCTGAGAATGAAGGGAGAGAGGAGCCAGACTCGCTATATGCGACATTACTCTCTTGTGTTGCCACAACTGAGGTTTATAAATACAGTTTTGCTGCGGAAGAAGATGAGGTGGTGCTTGAGAACGATGAGTGGGTGCCTACATGTGACGAAACGCCGGATGCAATAAGACCGGAGGGTCCGGCTGTCCACATTTCTCTAAAACATCTTGTGGGAGAAACAGATAGTGATCATGGTAGCAATAGCCCGAGCCATTGTAGTCACTTCGAAGAAGAGGAAGAGGAAGAGGAAGAAGAGGAAGAAGAAGCGATGTGGAGTCCGCGTTAAGAAAAAAAAATGCCGGTAACGAAAATCAAGAAAGCCACTACCGTTTCAAAAGTAAAATAAGGCTCTTGAGACAACGAGGGGAAGAGGGAGGGAGCATGTTTTCTGAGAACAGAGGCATCAATGTATCTTTCTGTGCATACAGTCACATTTATTTATTTTATTTGTAGAGCCCCGTTCCTTCTTTTAACTGTGACTTTCTCCCCTCTTTCTTGCTATTTTTTTTTTTTTTTTTGTTTTTCGGATTGTTTTGAATCTAAAAAAAAAAAAAAAAAAAAACCGATTCTTTCTTTCTTTTTGTTGTTGTTGTTGTTTACTCAGGGATAAAAAAACAAGTCGTATCATCATCAATACCAATAAAGGGCAAACAAATTCTGTAGGAGGAGTACACACACACACAGAGAGAGAGAGAGAGAGAACTTCTTTCGGGTGGGTGGGCGTGTCTGTGTGTGTGTGTTTTTTGTTTGTTTGGTAGGGGGGTGAGGGGGCATCCTTGTGTGCAAAAATTATGTCCGGAGAGACTTTTGCTTGCGTGGCGCTTGTCATCACGGCGGTGGCGGCGTTCATGTATATTGTCATTATGGGGCCCTCGCGTTACCACCGCGATGGTGTCGTTGGGCGTATGTATTTTTGCTTAATGGACTGTCCGACGGCCTGTTGTGGGTGTTTTTGTGGTATATGTTTTGGTTGTAGCTACCGACGAGGAAGACAGAAGTGGACACGGTGTTCAGACCACACATTTCGGGAGCGTAACTGGTTCATGGTTATCTTTTACATTTTACTGGTGTGGTCTGTTGAGTTTCTGTATCTTTTCATTGCCCTACCGGAGCTGCAGGTTTCAATATGGTCCAAGTTGATTTCATATGGTCTTGTGATGGTCTCCGAGGGATTCTACGCCCTGGCGGTCTTTTCTGACCCCGGCATTGTCACATCACGTGAGGAGAAGGAGGCGCAACAATTTGCCTTTGCAGCACCTCCTGCGAAGAATAAAAAACACAAGAAAAAACGAGGCGAGGAGAATGCTGCCGCCAGTAGCTGTGACCATGTCACCAAGCATACCTATGCCCATAGTGATACTACGATGGGGAATGGAGAGAAATGGCGAAAAGGTAAGATGCGTCAGTTTCTCCTTTCCCCGGAAGCGGAGGCACGGCAGAACCGGAAGTACATCGTGGATGGTATCCTCTATGCGATGGACGGTAGTAGTGTAGGGGGGAATACCGCCAGGAATCCCTCATCCTCATCCTCCGCGTTGTCATCCATAACGACGACAGCCACTGGACTAGAATGCAGCACGTGTCATGTTCCCCGTCCAAGTCGTAGTAAACACTGTCGGTTATGTGATTACTGCGTGCGCCGCTACGATCATCATTGTCCATGGATCAACAATGATGTCGCCGAAGGCACACATCGCTGGTTTCTTCTTTTTATTATTTGTCATGCAATTTCCTGCTTTTGGGCAACATGGGACATGTACGCTGTTATGAAGGCATTTTTGGTACAAAACCGTGCGTGGGGATGGTCCATAACGCTTACCAACGGCCTGCCGTACTTCCTGACCCCAATAGACTATTTAATCATCCTTGTGACGTATCAAACAATCGCCGCTTGTCTTTTTTTCTTTTCATCCATGATTGGACTGGTGCTATTAATTTTTGGGGTCTATCAGATGTCCTTTGTTTTTGACAATTTGACAATGAATGATATGGGTAAAATTGATGATGCAATCACATTTGTCTTGTCGCTTCCATCGCTGGACGAGGTGTACCGTGAGGCGATGAACGTGTGGCAATGTCTTGAGGTTGTCGCGGCGCGACCGCCCCGCAAACTTCGGCAGCTGAAGCCGCCACCACCAGATTTTGTGCCGGGTAGTCGTGGGGATAAGTCATACAGGAAAAAGGTGCAAAAGATGCTCTACAGTGACCTCAAGGGTCTATTTGACCGTGGGGTGTGGAACAACCTGGTGGAGGTATTCTTCCCCTATAGCCACGAGAGAAAAAGGGACCGTGTAGGGAGGACGGAAGGAGAACGGAGGATGAAATATGAGTAGGGAGGGGAAGAAGAAAAAAAATAGGGGGTGAGGATGGGAACGACGGCGGTAGGCAGTTTGCGTGGAGGCTTGTTGCTTTGATCGTCCATGGGGTTCATATTGCGGCTGATTTGGCCTCTCTCTCTCTCTCCCTCTCTCTCTCACTGCCTCTATGCCTCACTGTCACAGACAAATATCCACACTATACAAGTAATTTATATACACATACATATATATATATTGCCTGCGCCGTCGCACCTCCTATTATCTCTTCTTGTCATTACTTTTTTGATATTCTGTTCCCCTTTACCTTTCTTTTTTTTGTGTGTGTTGTTGTTTTTGTTGGCTTTTTGTTTCTTTTGCCCCTGTGGCCAAACTGGGGATCCTCAATGCTTATTACGGCCAGGAAAAAAGAAAAAAGAAAGCGCCACGACATTCCCCACGTCCGGTTGGCCTGCAAATGGATGTAGTGCCATCACGTCATGGCGTCATCGACACTCCGGGCGATGCAGACACGGTGCTACAGAAGCTTGCGGACGGGGGTTATCACCGCGCCCGTGTTAAGGCTCTCCCTGTGTTTGATCGTATCGCTGGGGGTCTCACCTGGGGCATTTTGAGTTCCCGCCATCGTCTACATGTAGAGTTTGTTGAGAATGCCACCATCCGAGAAAAAATTTGCATATCTGAAAAAATCTGCAATGCGTTGAAGCGCATGCAGTGTCCCATTGACCTTCGGCCGCACCAAATTCATGGGCTTGACTATTCATCCCTGCTGCCTGTTGCGGCGTGGCTGCTCAAGCGTGTAGAAGCCACCCGTGCGGAAAACGCATTTTTTCTGGAGAAGCAGACCGCGTGGGATTTTTCCCGTCGCTTCGGTACCTCTCTGCAGTCGTTACTTTCGGAAAAGGAGATGACAGCGCAGAGTGGTGGTGATGATGTTTCGTTGCTGCCACCCACGCAGGAGTCACTGTGTTTTTCCAGGCGTCGCCCTGCCCCCTTGCGGCAACGGGTTTCAGAGGTTGCAGATCGCCACAGTGTGGAGAAACCGCAGGGTGGGCAGAATTTTTCCCGCCTGGTGCATGTTTCCTCCGCGCTACTGGAGTATGGGATAAGGTACGAGATGCGGGACTCGGTTTTAATGCTAAGGCATGTGTCGAGGGGTGTGGTTGCGGAGGATGAAGAAGTAGCCAGAGAAGTGCGAGAACAGGAGGAAGAGGAGATGCGGGAGGAGCGAATGTTCGAGATGATTATAAAAAAGATGCGAGACCACCGCGAACGCACGGATGGGAAAATGTCCCTTAGTAAGGTGAAGACTTTGATGCAGACAACGAAAATATCCGAGTCCTTGCAGAAATTAAGTGCGGAGTATCACGCACGGCAGCAAGAACGGCAAATGCAACAGGATAGTGTACAGGCCATGCAGAGAAAGCTGCAACAGAAACAGGAGGCAACCGTGAGATACCGTCAAGAGTCCGAGGCGCTGCGGCTGCAGTGTGAAGAGGCGGTGCAGCAGCTTGCTGAGGCACAATCGAGACTTCAGGATGCAAAGGCGAAAGTAGCCCGACGCACTGCGAAATGGACTGAATACATGCATAACCTTCAAGATGTTTATCAGCATGTCATGGCGGATCCTGTACGAGGCAAACTCCTGCAGAAACTTCAGGGCCTCTTAGACCAAAAGGAAGAGCAACGGTTGCTTTTGGAGGAGACACGAAGGGATGGGAAGCAGCGTCTGAAAGCTGCCAAGGCGAACTGTGTTGCTCTTGCCGAACGTAGTGCGAATGCGGAACCCGGTGTAGACGACTTGTGGGAGAAGGAGCGTGCCAAGTACGTAGCTGAATTAAGGCGAAAAGAAGCAGAATTGTCGGCGATAAATCAGAAAGCGTCGGATCTTCTACGGCGTACCGATGCATTTCCGACTCGTTTGGAGCTGATGCAGATTCATATGCGCATTTGTGAGCTTAACGAGGAGGTGTCCTCCAAGTACGAGGAGTTGCGAGCTGCCTTTGCCCGCCACAACACACGTATGGAAATCCTCAAGTGTCTGGAGAGCGAGGATGTTATCATGACGCAGTTAGCGGGGAAGATGGAGTGGTGTCTGCGGCAGCCATCGTGGGTGTCAAAGAATGTCTCCGTGGAGCTGATCCGGGAGCAGGAGCGGGTGGTGACACAATTACGTGACTCTCTGGATGCGGTGCTTCGAAGAAATGAGGATGTGACGTCGAAGATGACTGCTGCAAGGAAGGAATATGAGTCTCTGTTGGTCAGGAAGCAGCAGCACCGGGATATGTTAGGGCTCTTGAAACAAACGATTGAGGAGCAAAACGCACGGATGGAGCCACAGCCTTAGAGGGCGATGACACATTTTCTCAGGACGCGGAATTGTGAAAAGCGCGGGGTTGGGTGGACGCTAAATTAAAAAAAAAAAAAAGAGAGAAAACTTGCGAAAATTCCAAAATTCGATTATTCTTTTTTTTTTTTTTTTTTTGTCCGTGAGGCTTAGTTTGTGGTCTCCCTTTGCTATGTTTTTCTGTGTGTTTTCCCTTCCTTTTTTTTTTTTTTTTTTTCTCGTTTACTCCTCACTTTTTTATAAACATATACATTTTTGTATTTATATATCTGTTGACTTGGCGTGTGTGTGTGTGTGTGTGTGTGTGTCATGCATGTTTTTTTTTCTTTTTTTTTTTCTGTGTGTGTGTGTGTTTACATGAACATTTGACAGACGGTCTTCCACAAGAAGTTTCATTGGATGGAGGCCGTGGGTTCAACAGTCGAGACGGCGGAAGCGTCGGACGAGGCATTTAATTCCCCTGAGTCTCATGTGTGGAATCCTGGCGATTTAAAGGGTTCTGGATGTCATGCTACTTCTGTTTCTTGTGCTTATTTCGCCCGTCACCCTCTTTGTAATGGGCAGCATCCCATTGCTTCAAAGAACATGTTATCGCCCTTCAGTTCCTTTTGGGGCCTTCACGTGGCAGTACCATTTCTTGTCGTATTACCGCAAGAGAATGCGGAACTGTCGAGCAAGGAGGTTCATCAAGGTGTAAAGACGGCTACCGTGGATGGTGCTGCTATAGATGCTGGTACCATGTCTTCCCCTTTTAGTGTGCCGCCAGAACGGTTTCTTACTTGGCATGAAATGTGCAAGATTCTTGTGCTCTGTGGCGTCAAGAGACATCACTGTCATGAAGCTGTGCGGCAGTTGTGGGAATATCTTCTCTTCTTGTGCTATAAAGGTCTTTTTGAATCTGACAGCACGGAGCGTGGAAATTATGGAGGCCGAGACACCACTCAAGTTACCGATTCTCACACGTGCAAACCAAGTGGTGCCGCTGAGGACTTTGCAACACTTGTGCGATATGACACGTTGAATGATGTACTGCGTTCCCACATTTATTCTGGTGGTGCAACTGACAAGAGTACAGTTGTCTGCTTTGCTGAACTTGTCGTTGCTGCCAGTGTTGCCTTGGGGAATCGGGACTTGGGACAGTTGGAGGAGGTGATGCAGGCACCCTCACTGTCAACCCGGTACACGCTTGTGACTGCCAAGCATACATTTGATCGGTGTATCGCCAGACTTCTTATCAATGAACTCCGTGGGCAGCGCATTACAATGATTCCGCTGCCCCGCTGGAATGTGACCCAAGCCATTGTACAAAATCGCAGATCACTCATCGTGTTTTGTGGTGGAACCAGCGGATGTGGAAAGAGTACCCTCTCTAGTCTTATTACAACGAATATTTGTTTTAACACCCTCCTCTCTACAGACACGATTCGTCAGTCGCTTCGAAGGACCTTACGACGAGAGGAATTTCCAGAGTTGTTTCTCTCTACATATGAGGCACACCGAGCCAAAGGAAGTGGTGGGAACACAAAGCCAAGGGCGGGAGAAGAAAGAAACGAATGTGACCCACAGGTTGTCATTGCTGCGTATGAAAAACAATGTGAGGTGGTGTTGCGGGCCTTAGATGGCATACTGGAGAAATTTATTTGCCGCAATCAAGTGGTATTCGTAGAGGGAGTTCATCTGCTAACAAGTTACATGCAACGCAAGACTGTAGAGTTACAAGCACGTGGTGTATTATGTGTGTCTTTTCTTGTCTGCATTACAAAGGAGGAACGTCATCTTGAGCGGTTTCGTACCCGTGCCAAGTGTATGGCTCTTTCCCCGCAACGTAATAAATATGTCTCACAATTTCACCATATTCGCCTGATTCAAAAACACTTGCTTGAACAGGCATATGATCATCTTCATTTGAAAATTATAAACAATACAAATCTCGATAAGTCCTTGATGGATGTTCACACACATCTGCTGGACGCCATAGACTGTAGTACGAGCCCCTCGTGGAATGAAACGGAGGCGGCAGCCTTTGGTAGAGCCGATGCCACTAGAAATGCCGTTGCGTCCGATGCAGACATGCATGGACGGCTAGCACCGAAGGAGGAGGCTGGTAAAAGCAAAGAGGCAAATTGTGGTTTCCTCCATCAACCCTTTGCGGATCCGAATATCAGTGGAAAACGCATGTTAGCTTTTTTACTTAAGTGGCGTAGTGAAAAGAAGAGGCGACGGGCAAATAACACTTCGTTCTATGGCAAGTTCCATCATACTTGTCACGTAGCGACGTCTTTATTTGCTCCAGCCAAAAGAGCCCGATCTGCGGAGTCTCTCACATCTTTCCGCCTGCAGTCACTCTGTTTGGCCTCTTGTTCGGGTAACACAAGTGATGAATTACTCGTGAGAGCCTGGAGAAACAACGACACGCAATGTTTTTATGTATGTGACTCCGATAAGGCCATGGCCGTGGTGGATTCTGACGGTTATGAACGACCCCGTTGGAAGTGCAGCCCATCCATATCCTCCGGACCGGCATTCCCAATACCACGTCATAAACTCTTTCAGAAGCATCCACAGGAAGCCACCCACGCGGTTTCACGGAAGGATTGCTCCTTGGAGGCTCTCACTGCAGCGGAAGATCCCCCTGCAGCTACAGTCACAGCAACCGCCGCAGCCAGCCGATGGGGGAAGTCGCTTCGTTCCTCCAGTGCAGATGCGGCCATTGAAGCGGTTGAAGGAAACAGAGCAGCGGTTCGAGGAAATAAACAAAAAAGATTCTTACCGCGGCTAAGTTCTCCGCGGCATGCTGCTCATGGCGCCAGGGGAAATGGCGAAAAAATTAAGGAAGAAATAACACTGTGGGATGAAAAAGAGGAAGAAATGGAAAATGGAAGTCGCTGTGAATTTCCTTCTCTGATGGGAAGCTGACGCATGGGGAATAAATGAAAAAAAAAAAAAAAGTCTTTTAAAAAAGTTTCTGCATGCGGTCGGTGTTGTGGGTATTGTGAAAAACGCAAAGCTTGTTGTTGTTGTTGTTGTTGTTGTTGTTGTTGTTGTTTTTTGGGGGGGGGGGGGAGGGATTGGGACGAGGTTTGCAATGAAGGCGTTCTCTCTCCCGCACTCATTTCCCAGTGCCTTTCTTCCCCTTCAGCATCGTATGCCCTATTCCCACGCATGTAAGAATGTGGCTCCAAGAGGTGTGCCCAGCCATTGATCTAAATACACACTTTTTAGCTCTATTTATTTATTTATTTATTTATTTATTTATTTATTTATTTATTTATTTATTTATTTATTTATTTATTTATTTATTTATTTATTTATTTATTTACAGTGTTGCTATTTCATTTATATGTTGGAACAAAAGTTATATTTTCTTCATGGCCTGTGGAACCCTCTTTAGCACGTCGTGTTGTTTTTGTTGTTGTTGTTTTTTGCGGGGGGGGTGAGGAGGAAGAGGAGGGGTGTCACCCCTTTGGATAACGTGAGTGCTTATTTCCGTTACTGTTGTTGCCAGGAGGGCGAGATGGATGGTGTGTTGTGAGTGTGTGTGTGTGAATGAATGGAAAGCTGGCAAACCGGAAAGAAACACCGCTCTCTCTCTCTCTCTCTCTCTCTCTCTCTCTCTCTCTCTCTCTCTCTTTCTCTCTCAACTTGTCGTCTATCTGCTCGCTCCAATGTGGTTTTTATTGGGGAGGGGTGGGCAGAGAGGGATTTAGTGATTGGATACATGTGGGAAGAAGCGGAGTCGTCGGCGCTGCTCTGCGCTGTGCAAAGGGGAGAGTTGGATGAAAAGTCCCCTGCAGATCACAAAAAGAAGCAAAATGGGAAACGCCCTTCTAATAAAGGGAAGGACTTATCACCCCAATATCAGCAGCGCAAAAGCTCTCATGTAGCGAAACAAAAACAGTGTGAAAAGGAGTTTTTGGCACATAAACAGCAAGTGATGATGAATCTTTCCAGTAACGCATGCGATCATAGTCCCAAGGGCGGTGTGGATCACAAGTGCCTTCCACTCATGCATCTCTTGAATACACATGATGATTATGTTACAACAAGCAGCTGTTCGGGTCGCATTGCACTCTTCCATAGTGTTATCATTCCGGAGGATCGTGGGGCTGTTGGGCCGCCAGCGTCACTGAAGAGAGGCGGCAAGGACGCATTAGGTTGGTTGGTGGTCAAGCATGACGTGCTAACGGAGCGAGAGATTGATCTTCTTGTCCGCTGCTTGTGTGACGATGTTAAGGATGGAGTTGTAACGGAGACGACGACGACTCCGCTAGAAGGAGCGACAAGTAATAAAAAAGATGGAGAAGAAAAAGAACAGCAGAAGGAGGGCGAATTGGATGGCGTTTGGGTGCGGGAAGGGGTACTTCAGGCCTCTTCTCCCCCAGTCTTTGGTATGGTCGCGTTGAAAATGGAACCATTTGTGATGCATGTCGAGTGCCGCACGATGGAAAGTGCGAAAAGACTGTTGTCTGCTGCCGCAACGGACGCTGGTTTCCGCAACAGCGGAGTCACACCACCAGGGAAGAAAATCATGTGTGGAATCCGCCACGCCTCTGGACTGGGGCTGGACGTCCCTCTCATTATAGACGGCGTGAATTACGTCAAGGGTCAGCACGCCTATTTGCGGCGGCTCCTGCATATGGCCAATGCGAAGATGCATGGCAACGATGTGAGGCTACACCGACTGGAGGACGGGGTTGCCGCCCGTCTTGCTGCTGAAGAGGGTGCAAAAAAGGGTTAAGGGTAAAATAAAGCATAATGAAAACAGATTAAATATACAATATATTTACTTATTTATTCACATGCTCTTTTTTTTTTGTATGCATATGAGAAAGGGCTTTTAAATGTATTGAAGTGTTCTCTTCTTTCTCTCTTTCCCTCTCTCTCTCTCTCTCTCTGTCTGTGTGTGTGCGTGTTTGTGTTTGTATACGTTTCTTGTATCCACTTGTCGTTATGTGCACATCCTCTTCTCTCTCTGTCTTGGTCCTATGAATTTTGGTGTGAGGGACTAATTTAGAACGGGAGGATAAAAAAGAGAGGCGAAGAAAAGAAGAAGGAAGAAAACGGACACAAGACGTGTGTAATAAATATGACCTCTACGAACAATAGCGGGAGCAACAATACACCCTCGGAGGAGGCTATTGTGCAACGCTACCAACAACTTCGTCAGGAGTGTCTTTCTCTGGTCTCTCGCATTTCTGAATTAGAGAACGAGTTACACGAGCACAAACTGGTTGCCGAGGCCCTGCGACCACTGAACGGTGATCGCCGCTGTCATCGCCTTGTTGGTGGAGCCCTCATTGAACGCACGGTGGCTGAGATTTTACCCGAGCTGGACGATAACGTAAAGGGCATTCAGGAAGCATTGGAACAACTCAATAAAATCCTCGCGGAGAAACAGGCTGTGATGGAAGACTACGCCAGAAAACACGGTGTGACTGTGGCCCAACAACACGGTCAGAACCCAGGCGGTGATACGCACGCAGAGTCAGCAAAGAAGCCAGCTGCTGCAGAACAAAGTGGTGTGCTGGTGTAAAAAGACGTTGGTTATGTCTGCGGTGGAGTTCATTCGTTTATTTGTTGTTGTTATTGTTATTATTATTATTTCTTCAACCTTCTTCCCCTCATCATTCTCTTTTTTTTTTTTTTTTTTTTTGTTGGAGGGCTGTGTGATTTTTAAAAAAGATGCTGCGGTGTTGTTGGTGAGGGATCCATGGCCCTGGTGGATAGACATATCTTTTCTGAAACGGAAAGAAAAAATAATTAAAAAAAAAAAAAGGTGGAGGAGGAGAGGTGGAAAAAAACAATTTTTTTTTTTTTTATGCTAAATTCTCGGCCTAAAACTGCGTTGTTGTTTGTTTGTTTGTTGTTGTTGTTGTTTGGTGGGGGTGGATAGCGGAAAAGTGGAATATAAACTAAACGTTTGCTCTCCGTGCCTGTCAGTTCGCCTTCTCTCCCTTCTTTCTTTCCCTTCCTTTCGGTGAATATATATAAATATATATGCACCACGTGGCTACTGGTGGTGGTGGAGTTGTGTTGCTCTTTGTTTGTCGATTTGGTTGTTGTTGCTCTTTTCCAGTCGATGTATGAGTAGCATGCAGGAGAATGATGCTGCCACGGCGCCACCGATGGCTCTAATCCGGTGGTGGTTTGGTAAGACGGAAGAAGAGCGACGGAACTTTCTTCAGGGTTCGACCGTGTCGGAGAAGGCACGGCAGAGCATTCCTTTGGTTGAGGAGTATGCAAGGCAACATTGTTATTTGGTTGCCTGTGAGACAAATTTGGACATCTGCCCGATGCCATCCTTGTCGCCACTGTTGCGAAGAGGTTCGCAGAGGAGTGGTGGATATGGTGTGTGGTTGCCATGCGCAATGCATGGCGAGGGAACATATGGAGGTCGATACACCACAGCGTCACAGCGAGAGAAACGACGAACATCGGCACATCGTCTCTTTGGGAAAGTGTGTGCACGTACGGCGATGTTCTTGCGTGACTACAGTGTGCACTATGGCCCGGTACGATCCTTGCTGTCGAATGAGGAACGGTGGTGCCATCGTGCGGCTCGCACTATTGTTGAGGCTCTGGTGGAGGCTTCTGTGGCGGCATTATACCGCCTTGGTCTCACAGACGCTTTGGAAAAGATTGAGAAGGACATGGCGCAGGATGCAGAAAATTGCTCGAGGGGACAAGCGACAGAAGACGGTAGTGTTGCACCGAAGCCCGTTGGTGTACGCCGAGCGGAAACGCATGGTTGTTTGGGCTTATGGATGTTGTTGCTTCCAACTGCCATTGGAAAAGGGGAGACGGTTCCTTTGCCCATGCAAAACGCGACGCAGGGTAAAAAACGCTCGCGAAGCACTGATAAAGAAAACGGTTCCCAATCTCCATTGCGGCCGCAGCAGGGACGGTTGCCGTTTGACTCGGAAGTGAACTGTTGGCAGCTCTTGCGAGAACAGATGGCCTCTTCCTCTACTGACGGGTTAAGAAATGAGAGCAATGCAGACAGGGATGATGATGAGGATGATGATGTGGCTGTCATGGTTCCTAATTCAGAACCACGCATCACCATTACTGAAGCGGACATGCGATTTGGTATTGCTAAGGCATTGAAGAATCGAGGGAGACAGTCGACATGAACTCAGTGTGTGTGTGTGTGTGTGTGTGTGTGTGTGTGTGTGTGTGTGTGTGTGTGTGTGTGTGTGTGTGTGTGTGTGTGTTTGTTGGGGAACGACCCACATCATTGTTGTCGTCATTTCGATGATTCCATCACTTTCTCTCGAAAACCAATGAAATGAATGATCTGCGATCAAATTGCCAGAAGTGGTTTTTATTGTATTAGAAAAAAATGGTTGTTTGCTATGGTTGCCGATTATTATCATTATTATTATTATGCTTTATTTGTATGCATTTGGTGGTGGTTGGTGTGCACCCCCTTTTTGAAGGGAAGAACAAAAAAGAAAAATAAAAAAAGAAAAACACGTCATTGTCCAGAAGGTCCTCATATTTCACCTGTCGCAGTTGCGGTAATGGAAACAGGGATATCGTCTGTTTGCACGATGGGCACACCGGAGTGTGACGACGAACTTTACCTCTTCCTGCGTTGCCTGCGAGTACACCATCCGGATATCCCCGTCATTGTGGGGTGCACATCTGCCATGCTCAAAGTAGGGGAAAACACGAAGAGTAAAGCTTACGCCGGATTTTGTAATGATAGTCGCATGGTGTGGATACCGTGCTTGGACCCCTACGTGCCGATCCAGCGAAGAGAAATGGAGCGGCAGCCCGGTGTGTGGTACCCCTCACGGCACACGGACTTTATGATGGAGAAGGCGAACCTCATGGAACATGCCATGATGCTTCGAGAGGAACACGGCGGGGACAACACCGGGGCGGTGTTGTTTCTGGACTGTGATGTTGTTTTGTTGAATGAACTTCCGCGAATTCCTTCCGGTACGGAAGTGGCGCTCTCACCTCATCGAATTTCTCCAAGGGATGAGGCCCTTTTTGGACGCTACAATGGTGGGTTTGTGGCTGCTGCGTCTCCTGCTCCTTTGCATGAATGGCGACGTGCGACACGGCACTCACGTTTCTTTGATCAGGCTTCCCTAGAGAGTGTTGCGAAGAAATTCGTTTCCACCTTGTACGAGATTCCCCCGCAGCACAATTATGGTTACTGGCGTTTCTTTCAATCCTATCGGAAGAATCCGCTGCTGGAGGCGCGGCAGTTTTCCATGAGACGCATCGGTGCACAGGGTGAGTGGATTCTGTGCTACGAAGGGAAACCACTAGGATCTATTCACACGCACTTTCTGGATGCAATCAATCCACGTGCCCGTGACGTTTCTGTTTTCAATGGACTCATGAAGAAATGGATTCTGAAGTGCATTCGGCCCACACCGCACGCCACCACGACTGCGCTATGCTCCGGTGCGTTGGCAGCAGTGGCGGCAGGAAACCGTCGCTACAAGGAGTGTTTTGATCTTTCAATTCTCACAGAAACACGGTAATTGAAAATTATGGCGGTGTGCCACACGCGTGTATCCTAATATGTAGATGTATAAATGTTCGGGTGATTGTTTGGGGATGTGGGTTCAAACGAAAAGAGGCTGCAGCCACCCTTTTTTTTCTTTTTTTTTCTTACCAGCCGTAGTGAAAACACACCCCTCCAATGCGCAGCTCTGTTGGGCGTACGATGGAATTCAGCGGGAAGGGATAACCTTATTACCCCCCTGCCCCTGCGAAATGCCATTACACATGGCCCCCGTAAATCCAAGTACGCCGTTACTTCGCGTCCTCCCTGGAAAAAACAGAGGATTAATAAACCCTGGCACCGCGTCGAGGTGGCCGGCTGCACCGGGTATGCGCCTTCTAAATCATCATGGGAGATTTTATTTCTCAATTCTGGTACATCCTTGCTTTCATTACGCGTCGGGTGAATTGAATTTGAAATAATAATAGCAAAAAGTCACCAAAAACCCGCCAAACACATGCACAGCTCGTTAAATTTATTTCATAGAGAAAAAGTGCTCCCAACAGGGGTCGAACCTGTGACCTTGGGCTTATTAGACCCACGCTCTAACCGACTGAGCTATGAGAGCCACAAAAACGCAACAAAGTCAGCAACCAGCGATGAAGTCGCACCTTGTCGCGTTACTGGGCTCTGGTTGTATATAGGAACTCCGCTGCGCTGCGTTGCGGCGAGCACGACGGAGACCAAGACGACTCCACCCCTCGAGAAGGTTCCGCGCCATTCCCGGTGCGGGGAGGTGAAGCGGTCTGCCTGCAGACTGTCGGACAAAACTGCACGACCGTTTCGCTGCGGTCATTCCGTTGATATCACCCGTTGCGGTGACGTCCACAAGAACTCTGGCACCGAGGTGGATGGCTACATCACTATTTGGCAGCTCAACATTGCAGGCCTCTCGTCCGTAAAAAATATTGCGTTTGCTGTGCGACTGGAGCAGCATCCAACCTGACATCGTTCTTTTCCAGGAAACAAATACTCGAAGTGCCACAGCGGCAAAACTATATGGCTATAATGACTTTCTTCAGGCCGCACTGGGTGCGGTGGTGGCGTTGCCATTCGGGTGCGCCACTCTCTGCCGTGCGAGCGCCCGACGCTCCCTGTCAAAGACCTCCTGGAGAACATTGCTGTCCGTGTATTTCCACAGGGCTGTCCCAGCATCTGCGTGGTGAATCCCCACAGCCCTCCCACAGCAACTGTTCAGAGCTCTTCGTTTATTAGCACCATTCGTCGCTTAGGCCCCGCAGCGATTATCGCGGGTAAACTGAATTTACATCATGGACTCTGGGACAGACACCTACCTTCAACGACTGGAGGAGAAAAATTCGTTGCTATTTTAATTGATTTCAATTTTGAACTGGCAAATGACCCGGCGCAGGCAACACGGATCACACATCGTAATTTCCCGTCCCCTGACGTGACTGCGTATCGCGTGCTACGTGCCACCCACTGGCAATCCACTCCCTAGATGGATTCGGACCACTGCTTAATATATGACTCGGTGAGGATGGATGATGGCATTCCGCGACTAGCCAACACGCTGCCTCGGCGGGAGAAAGCCACCCCTGCCCTGTGTAAGGCGGATTGGCCTGCTTTCACCTCGTTGTGTGAAACACTCCTTGCCACCGCGTCCACATGGTCGGACATCTGCAGAGATATCTTACGAGCAGCTAAGCGCCATATCCCGCGCGGCAGCCGTGACAGCCCAAAACAATCTGGACAAACAAAATGGAACAAGCCGAGTCCGCCGCAGAAGCAGCACACAAAGCACACACATCGCCTCACCAGGAGACAGCCTGCTTCGAGCCGAATTTAGTTGAAAAAGAGAAACAAAATCAAGCCTTACGCCGGGACTTCGCTACGCTTCTGGAAGCCCGTGTGGAAAAACTTGGGGCTTCATACAGCCCAAGCTGGCGATATCTTCGCGGCGTGGCGGCGCCGCACCCTCAGATCCAAAAGGCACGTCCCTCACCACAGCCGCGATCGACTTCGCCCTGTCGGCACGCATCGCTTTGTCAGAGGAGCAGGAGTACGTCAGGCTGGCAGCAAAGCACCCGCTGGCACAACACATCACAAACATCATCACAACCAGAAGCACCAGCAGCACTGCAGACCGTGGGGTGACGTGGATGAACTGACACATGCTGTACGTGAAGGAAGGCACTCCACGGTTTGAAAAGAATAAGAAACACTGAAAATATCTCAAAGAAAAAGAAAAAACAAGATGAAAATCATACGTCCGCAGTCAAAGCAAACCAATAATCGATAATAAAAAAAGGTAATGGGCGCTCTCAACCACAACACAAGTAAAACAGCAAAAAACAAAAAGCCGAATCGTGGGAGGACCAGCGCACACACTCTCATTGCTCCCGTAAAGCAAAACACACACACAGGGAGAGAGAGAGAGAGAGGTCGCCCACTCAATGCAATAAAAACAAAACAGAAACAGTTACGGTGCTCCGCCCATGCAGCCAGGCAGGACGGCAGCGGTGCGTGTCGTGCAAAAGAGAGCACCAACGGGCCTGCATGGGTGTGCATGCAATATATACAATGGGCACATTATGTGTGTGCTTCGTGGGATGGGGTGAGGGCGAGAGTCCATGCAAGGGGACACACACAGAGAGTGGGTGAAAGACGAGTGTGTGTGCGGGCGGTGCATGGCGCTCTCTCACTCACTCTCACGCGGCCACCACCGCAGCCGCAGCCGCACACACCACGAAACTGATGGAATCAGTGCGATTGCAGAACTCGCACACCGTCCTGCAAACCAGAAGTTTAAAAAGCAATAAGAAACAAGAATTCCAAAAAAAAAAAGGAAAAAAACTTAGGCTTCTTCGGGGCTCGAACCCGCGCCCCGGATGACATTGTGAGCTTGTTTGCCACTGAGTTAAAAAAAATGTGGTCGCGCGACCCATTTTCACGTAAGGTGTTAATTTCGATCTTCGAACAATCGAGCACATTTGCGTTGTCCCCTGGAAAACGAAAGCGACATGTTTAGGGTGCGCCGCCGCAGCGTGGATACCTCGATTCGTCGTCATATATCTCTCGTACGGGGCCGCAGCCGCAGCGTGAATACTTCGATTCGTCGTCATATATCTCTCGTACGGGGCCGTCGCCGCAGCGTGGATACATCGATTCGTTGTCATGTATCTCTCGTCCGGGGCAGCCGCTGCAACTTGGATAATTCGACACGTCGTCATGTATCTGTCGTCCGGGGCCACCGCCCTACTCTTTTTTATTCCTTGCGGCGGCCAACCCCGGCAGTAAGGACAAAAAACAGGATCGCGTTTTTTTTAATGCTTTTCCTGTTTGGGGGGGCGGATCTTTGTTTTCTATGATTGCCCCCTCCTTTTTTTTGTCTATTCCAGGTTGGTTTTAGGAGGCTTGATGTGCCTGCTGGGTGATCGCCGGCTTTTTTATTGGTGATTGCGTATTTTTGGCTTACCGGTGTGCCGCTCAGCGCCATTTTGTTTTACTTCTTTTCTGCTTATTGGGGCGTGTTGTTATTCGTCACGCGTCAGCACACACCGAGCAACATGTCAAAAAAACAAAACGCAGGCTTCTTCGCCCCTCGCGAGGGCCTCCGCAGCCACAATCCTGTGCGTGCGTGCA